CTGTGATCGTCCAGGGAATGTCTGAGAGGCAAGGGTTTTTTGTGATATTTTGGATTGAATAAATTCTACAGTTGTAAGAGCTGCTGGAAAGTTTTAAGGCATTAAGAGTCTTTACTTAGGTCCAAAGTTGAAAATTTTATTCTCAACTTAATAAAGGACCAAGTCAGGTCTTGCCAGTTTTCTTTAGTGGTGTTCTTGCTATTGTAAGACTCCATGAGATGTCCTTGAGATGATGTCTCAGTGCCTTGGGTATTTTGTTGTTTTATCCAACAAACAAAAGTGAATGGCTCTCTTCTTTAAAGTCTTCATACCTGCACAGTCAGAACTAGGCCTTTTATATTAAGTTCTATGTGTGACGAAAATATTTTTTTATGCAACTGAGCAGATGCAATGACAGGTGAAGAAGGTAGATTAGTGCCGGTGCTCTTCCCAGTTATTAAAACTCACTTTTTATGCTGCAGCAATAGCTTTCAATTGTTTATTTTCAATCAGTCACAAGCAAAGTATGCATAAGGGGAGGAGAGAAGGAAAGAAATTATATCTATTTTATACTTAATTTTTTCCCTGCCAGTATCCAGATGTCTGTGAGGATTTATGCATACGAGAAGCCCCATTCTAAGTTAAATGAGTGCAGATTGAGTTGATCTTTTCCAAATAATTTATTACAAGTTTTATAGAACAGTTCAAATCAAGCAGATTTTCACAAGTGTGGTACAATTTCCCAATTTGGCTTTGTGCCATTCCTGTAATGCTAGAAGTTTCTCTTAAAACACTGGGTTAATCCACCTATTATAATTTCACATCTACAATGTCTTAATCTTCAGAAATATGCCAAAAAGTTATGCATTTTCAAAGAGGAACCTTAAAACTTGGAAGGAAAAAGAAATATCTACAGAGAAGTTAATAAGAAGCACTAATAAATGAATTTTTTCATTCAACACAATTGCAAACATTAGCTATTTGCCCTCCATGTCAGGTAGGACACTCCTTTTTACACAGTGGCGTAGACTTCTCATTGAGCACCTGGTGTGGGCATAAGGAAGCACCATTCTACTTACTCCACTCACCTTCCACCCCCAGATAGACTATTTAATGCAATGCTGCACTGACCAGCTCCTCTGCAAAAAACTAGGTTTCCCCTGCTTCTGCAAAGGCTCCTGGGGGCAGAAAGAAGAGGGGAACACTATTCCACTGTTCTGCTCACTCCACTTACCCACTCTCCCTTCCCGAACCAGCCCCCAGATACATTGATTGCTGTGGCACTGCCCAGACCAGCTCCTATGGCAGTGAGGAAACCCAGCACCCTCTCATAGTTGGCACCCAGAGTGGGTGCCTTCCTCACCCCACCTTACTTGTGCTACTGTTTCTACAGATGGGGGAAGAGAGAGGATAAATGACCCACTTAAGGGTAGAGAGAGAAAGTCAGAGGCAGTGCTGGATTAAGAGCTTTCTACATTCCAATCCTGTCAAACTAGTTCATCCTCAGCACTGCAAAGCATAGGTATAGATCTAGATTCTGTATTCAGGATTATTCTTCTCAGAGTGACTGGGGATGGAAACACTGGAGGTAGCACAATTAGCATCTGAAGAGAAGCATGCTTTAGATCTATTTTGAGGGAACTCATATGAGCTAGGGACAGACATTACACACAAACCAGTGTAAGTGATCAGAAACCGGTTTAAACCTGTAACAGAACAGAAGTTCAGTGACCACAGACTAGGTTCGAAATGTCCAAAAAGTGTTTAAGGTAGTAGACCTGGATGGCTAAAGTATCAGACTTAACTGAATTAGGTTAAACCAATCTATCATACCTCTGTCCAAGATCCACTCCAAACACAAGGTAGGTCTCAATCCCCCAACATCCCAGGATGCACTGCATTCTCCCCCCATTAACTCCCCTCTCTCAAGTCAGGTGGGTTAGCCTTTGCTTCAGCTTGTATGCTCTAGCTGAGTGAGGTGGGCCCACCCCCAGCTGTCACAGAGCGGAGGCAGCCTCCCCAGCCCCACAAGCAGTGGCAAAGGAGGAGGAGAAGGGAGGAAAGTCATCTGCCTGCCTTGGCCAACTGATGAGTGGACAAGTATTCTGCTCATTAATGATCCAGTCTGTGTTGCTTGGGCTTTTTCACTGTCTGTACTTAGCCACAGTGCATGGAATGAATGTTTTGGAAGAGGGGAGAGAGACACCCAGCCTTGCTTCTGCAACACAGGAATACAAACGAAGTCAAGTACAAGCAGTCCTAAATATCCCATGAGCTCACATTTTTGTGTCTTCAGGAAATATAGCAATACAGGAATTAGTTCTACCTCATTTCTTTGTTTGAGAAAAGATGAAGGCAGAAGAAAAGTTCCTGTAAAGAAACTGGTTGGTTGCAGCAAATGATTATATTTTTTTCAATTATGGATGGGAAATTTGTGTTGGCTGCTCTAGTCTTCTGGTGTGTAGCTGGGTTACCTGCTACACACCAGAGTGCACATGGCACAGGCCTTACCCGGGGACAAGTAGCAGCAGCACAAGGCGTGCCGCTGCTACTTTTCCATAGGGAAAAAAAACATCTGTGCTCATGTGGATGTAGCCCAGAAGTGCATTATTTAGAGTATCAGCAGGAATTATATGTGAAGTTAGTACAATTGGCCAGTTTCTGCAAAACCAATCAATGCTTGCATTTGTTCAGCTTCCTTTTAGCCAAATGCATTAAGCATTGAGAAGAGCTTTGCAAACCAGCCTTTATAAACAATAATAATATAAAAGGGACCACTCTGGCTCTTGAGATTTCCATTCCTTCATACATTAATATTTTATGCACTAAAGACAAAAAGCCTAGCTCTTTGGCCTTGCCCATGTCTCCTTTTTACCAATTTTTAGATACCAATGGGATTTAAGGCTCACTTAATTGGGTATCTAATGACCCTCCAACCCCAACATCCTGTGCAGGAAATGTTTGCTGGTATAGAGACAGTAGATCAGATGCCCTGGTGGAAAGATTTCTTTAGAGATATGAAAAAAGGGAATCCTGAGGCCTAGAAAAAGATCTCTAACCAAAGTTAGAATAGTTTTGTGGTTCCTTCAACAGGACCTTTTTATTTCCCAGCTACCCTCACGACCAGGGGGGGAGTAAAAGGAGCTTAGAGCCAACAGTCTCCCCCAAACTTTCTTGGCCCATCTCAGTATCTGAACTACTAGCATTCATTTTAATATCCCCTGCAAAGGATCTTGAAGAGTATGATTTTCCAACTAAGGTATATATAAAAACCCATGGGCAGTTTAAAGTTGGTTGTCATTCTAATATTTAAAAAGGGGCTTCAAAAACCTTTCACACCAAAGACCTATGTATGAGAGAGGGGGAAATTGCCAAGATTCAATATTTTATTTCATTGAGCAAAATTGATTAATATGTAAGCCACCAGATTGCCACACAACTCAAACTCTGTTAATTGTGGTTGATTTGTTGGAAATACAATTCAAAAAATATTTAGCTTCAGGTTTTATTATTACTGCTTTATTAAAATCTAGTGGATTTTCAAGTGCACCCTTCACTGGATTACCCTTTTTTCATTATCCTGAAACTTTTACAATTTTAGCTCAATATGTAATTATAGGAAAATATTTAATATTTAGATTTATGTATTTGCTGCTAAATCTTTGTGCTGAAAGAGCCCTCATAAAATTATGTGGTGACTCGCAATGTGTTTTTCCATTATTTCTTGATTAAAAAAAAGACAATGATTGATTTTCTACCTACCTGGGTTAAATAACAGGGACTGATTGAAATCATTTTAAATACATTTTGAGAGAATTTGCACACAAGCTCTGAGAATCTGAAACAGGTTTTATGGTAGGTAGTATGCTTAATTCTAGTGAATGCATTCATGAGCTTACATACTTCTATAAATATGTATCTGTTTCAATTTCATTAAAGATTTTTTTTTTCATATCAACTGCCAAAATTGTTTAAGAAAAATATATTTCTTTGGAAGCAAATTCTGAAACAAATTCCAGAATTCCCTTTTGGAACTGATATAATATTCTGTCTCCTTGCAAACTTTGAACTAAATTCTCTTTCAAATAAATACTCTGAACAAACCCTTGCTCTGCCTACCCTCTTTAGAATTGTATCACAATGTATGTCCTATACATAAAAATCATCCATCTCACGTAATTAGTTGTACATGGTTTTTTTCTGTTGTTAGTTTATAAATATATGACTTCCTTACAAATTATCATAATTTGCCACTGAACTTGGAAATCATCCTGTTACATTAGAAAGCAGATGTTTTAGAAGCAGATTTAAGGAGTAATAAATCCCTTAACCCTCCTTGAACTGTGCATAATTTATTTTTTATTTGTCTCCTCCTAAGCAGCAGTGATGCCTCCTCTTCTCTTATTCTATGCCTATACTACTTGTGATGAAATAAATCTCAGCATGAAAATATGTAATTTATCTAACAAGAAAAATCTGATATGGAAGTATTTTTGTTAGTGCTGCTCTAATAAATTGCAGATGTATAACAACAGACTTTGTAAACTAGGGAAATATTTATATTAGTAATTTAAGTGGCTATACCAAATAATTGATTATTAATGATTGGTAACAATGTCTTGGGGGGCCTGTAATAATCTTTCCCACTCCCCATTACCTCAGATGAATACTGATACAGAGTATTATGGTAAATATGTTCCTATATACCAATATATTTCTAATGGTGAACAGACTTGAAGGGGTTGTTTTGTGATGCCAGGTTTTATATTTTGGACTATAACTTTACCACTATACTGGGAGGGGGCTGAGTTAACAAAACGTTAACTGATTCTGGGGCATCTTAAAATCTTGTTTGTTCCCCCGCCCATCAGGAAAACTGTGATGAGTATTGGCATATAAAGGATTGCTTGTTTAGTGGTTAGTATAATGTCATCTGTATAAAAGTATTTGCTGGCAAAGGCAGAAGAACAGAAGCTGAAGAGGCTATGTGTGCTTTTAAATGGATGATTAAATCTGGGAAGGTTGATCTCCTTTCATGCTGAGGATGTTGTGTGCTGCAGTCACGCCTCTCACTGCCAGCCCGCACTAGGATGATAATCAGTCACTATGAAAACTCATTAGCTCCACAGCAATGAGTCCTCCACTACTCAAGCTTGGTGCTGTGCTTAGTACCATGGCAATGATCTCTAACTGGATGTCCCAAACTCTCCCATCTCTGGTAGGACTAAATACCACCAAACTAACTACTTCAGATACTCTAGTAAGTAGCTCTGATGTGTTGCAAGCAATCTTAATTATGAACTGATATTTATGCTACTACAAAGCCTGTGGTTTAAGTTGCCTCTTTGTAAATGTATTTCTAAGCTACTAATCTTCATATAGTCACTTAATGCATGCTGTTCTCCAGGCATAAAACTAAACATTTGTGAGAATGCTGTGGACTTACTATGAAAAAGGAAGATATTAAAATAGGATGATTAAGTATTTAAGAACAAAGGACTGTGTTTTGTGGGGGGAATTGTTAAAACATTTTAAAGAAATGCTTGCTTCTTTTGCCTAGAGTCTTTTCATAGATTCATTGCTTCAGAAAATATGTAGAGTTGTCATAAAGATTAAGAAATTAAATGTCAGGATTCCTTTCACTTTTCTTTCTAATGTAGCATTATTATCTGTATCAATTTATCACCATAATAGGCAATAGACATTCTTCTCATTTTTCTTAACTTGCAATGCTATCATGTAAGTGAATATGTTTTAAACATAAAATGACATAGGTACTTTTTAGCTTGGCAATGAGACTTTATTCAGCCACACTGGGAAATAATGTAGATAATAAATACCAGGTAATTAGTTACATTCTTTCATTACTTATGTTTGATGTTCAGATATAACGGAATTTTAAAGCAACATATAGCACTCTGGTAATGTCAAACTAAAAAAAAAAGTGCTATTAACTGTTCCTGGATACTTTGATGGGCAGCCTAAAAATTAAATAAATAATTCAATTGGATAGTTGAACTCTGGGACTTTAGAATGGTATTTGTAAAAGATCAAATGAAGTTGAAATAGAATGTGCTATACTAAATACTTAGGAAATAAACAATCTCACTGTGCAATTGAAATCTGATGTATGAGTAGAATAGCTTACTATTCTGAAGGCTGAACATCTCAATTCTAAATATTAATTCACTAATCAATCAATATTTAGTTTACTGCATATGGATGGGAAAAATTACACAAAAAGCTTTTAAAATCGTTAAATATGAAGTTATTGTTTTGTTATGCTAGAATACTGAATTGCTGGTTTGATTCAGTAACAGAGTGGAGAAAGATGGAATCATTATTTGTTCTAACAGTAATATTAATCATCACACTGGCTATTGAATGGATCTTTAGTTCCTACTGCAATTCACAAGTGATGTGGGGTTCTTGTTAATTAAACACCAAGTGTAAACTTGCAAGTAGCAAAGGGACATGGACATACATGATATGGTGGGGGTGTATTTTATATATATATATACACACACACACACACACACATATACACACACACACATATACACACACGCACTATTTCTATAAGGTCAGACTGAATAGTTTAAATGGAGTGTCTCCCTTTGCCTGAAAGGAGTCTACTGATTTATACCCACTGAGAATCTGGCTTATAGTGTATATGACTTTAAAATGGAGAAAACAACATCTTTAATCTGCATGAACATGGATATTTTACATTTTAGTGAGGCATGGAGTAACTGGAGCATCAGTGAAGTCAGGATATAGGACATAAGCCTTATATCTTAAGTTGAGCAGACTTGTAAAATGTGGATAGTGAAAAATCCTACCATATTCAATACATCATTATTTCTTAAAATAAAGACAGTTTCCCCTGTTTCAAAGTCCTTTCAATGAAGGTTGCTTATTTCTATGGTGTGTAATTTCAGTGCTAATCTTTGATATTTGACCAACATATCTTCCAAGGCATGCCAAAGTGCATTCATAAGAAAACTTAAACTTTCTTGTATAAAAATCTCTAATTGTCCTTTTTCAGTACACATTCATGGAAAAGTACACATATTGTACATGAAGGAATGGAACAATAATATCCTTTATTAAACTGCTACTTTTGACCTGAACTGGAAGAGACAGTTAAAAGAGCGGGGAGAGGGAATAGAAACACCTTCTCTTTTGTCATAACGCTGTTGAAATCAGCGTAGTTGCTCCAGAAGAGAATTTGACTGTACTTACCTAGTCATATGAACTCTGTTTTTCAGTTAAAAGCATGTAACTGTCCTGTCAGTGGTGACAGTATAGCCAACTATAATATTTTTATTAAAGTATCTGAATGTGCAGAGGTAAAAGAAACTTCTTGGCATGGAGTACAGAAATTCTGTAGCAGGCTGTCTTCCAAGTGTATGTTAAGTATTTGTCTTTTCATGGGGTTTCTTCTGTTTCCCTAAGATTTTTAAGAATTAGGACAATGTACTATTGTTCCTTCACTCCTACGCTTAGTTATTTCTTTTCTTGTCTGCTC